CCGCTCCCAGCCACCGCAGCCTCGACCTGCTGGCCTCCGGCGATCCTTCCGCCTCAGCCCTCCGAGTAGCTGGAACTACAGGAGCGCGCTACCACGCCCGGCTCATTTTTTATTTACTATAGAGACGAGGTCTCGCCAAGTTGCCCAGGCGGGTCTCGAACCCGCAGGCTCGGGCAATCCACTCACCTCAGCCTCCCAAGGCGCGGGATGACAGGCTGAGCCACCGAACCCGGCTGCTTTTCTAGATAATTAAAGCAACCTAACTAATAGTCTCCACCATCCCCATATTTTCGCATCCTCGCTGTGCTGCTGGATGGTGGACAGGCAGCCACAGCTATCCCTCCTCCTCTGGTTCTCCGCCGGCCCAGCGAAGCCCCGGCAAGGGGTGGGAGGAGCATGGGCCAGCCAGAAGGCGGGGCTCTGTGAAGCTGAGATTGGGCTTGGATGCCCGTGGAGGAAAGTGTTTGCAGGCCAGCTTCGCACCCCTCGGAAACATCATTTTCTCGCTTTTTGTTCCAGATACAGGAGTCTTCCTTGTCATCCAAAAGGAAAATGGTAAGGACAAAGTTATGTCTATTTATCTACACAGTAGAATCATCCAGCTGTGAAAGTTTAGCTATTACATTGAATTCATATTAGGACTTTCTGTTTTTTACTAATACTAAGAGGACCACATTAAACAATCCTATTTTTTGGAGTTGGGGTCTCGGTCTGTTGCCCAGGCTGGAGTGTAGTGGCACTATCATGGCTCACCTTAGCCTCAACCTCCTAGGCTCAGGTGATCCTCCCACCCCAACCTCCTGAATAGCTGGAACTACAGGCGCGTGCTACCACACTCGGCTAATTTTTTTTTTTTTTTTTTTTTTTTTTTGAGTCGGAGTCTTACTCTGTCGCCCAGACTGGAGGGCAGTGACCGCTCCCGGCCACCGCAGCCTCGACCTGCTGGGCTCCGGCGATCCTTCCGCCTCAGTCGTCCAAGTAGCCAGAATTAAAGGCGTGCGCTACCACGCCCGGCTGACTTTTTGATTTATTATAGAGATGAGGTCTCGCCAAGTTGCCCAGGCGGATCTCAAACCCGCGGGCTCAGGCAGTCCACTCACCTCAGCCTCCCAAAGGCGCGGGATGACAGGCTGAGCCACCGAGCCCGGCTTACCCAGCTAATTTTAATTTTTTTTGTGGTAGTGGCAAGGTCTCACTATATTTTCCAGGCTGAGGTCTTGAACTGAGCTCAAGTGATCTTCCTGCCTTGGCCTCCCAAAGTGCTGGGATTGCAGGCATGAACCACCACGCCTGTCTCTGCAGCTCCTTCTAGTTTTGTCAGATAAAAGTTTATGTAAGTGAACTTAGTTGGTTCTCCTTATAAGGTTAAAATTTATTTTTTTAAGTGAAAGTGATTCTCAAACTTTCTTTATTTCTCCATAAAGTTCTTTGCTTTTCTCTCTGTCCTTCTCACCTTACTTTCAGATGCCAAATTTTGTAGCATCGGGGGATTTCTTTTCCATCATTTGCCAACTGCGTGACAGCAGGCAAGTTACTATCTTTTCGTGCCTTTGTTTCTTCACCTGTAAAATTGAAATAATAATTCCTACGTCACAAGTTTGCTGAGAGGCTTCAGTGAGATGTTGTTATTGTGATTATTTACATATATGTCGTCATTTTATAGATATATGTTTTTTTTTTCTTTTGAGTTGAAGTCTCACTCTGTTGCCCAGGCTTGAGGGCAGTAGCACACTCATGGCCACCACAGCCTCGACCTGCTGGGCTCAGGTGATCCTTCTTCTTCAGTCTTCTAAGTAGCTGGAACCACAGGCATGTACTACCACACCTGGCTAATTTTTTGATTTATTGTAGAGACAAGGTCTCACCCAGTTGCCCGGGCTGGTCTCGAACCTCTAGGCTCAGGCAATCCTCTTGCCTCAGCCTCCCAAAGTGCTGGGTTTATAGGCGTGAACCACTGTGCCTGGCTACCGGCTTATTTTTGTATTTTCTTGTAGAGACAAGGTCTCATTATGTTACCTGGGCTGGTCTCAAACTCCTAGACTCAAACATTCCTCCCACGTCAGCTTCCCACAGTGCTGGGATTACAGGTGTGAGCCACCACACCTGGCCTTACATATTCTTTTTAAAATAACTATACAGTGTTGCATTGTATGAATGGATCATAATTTACTTAACCATAAATGAACATTTTGGTTTTTCCAATCTTTCACTATTAAAAATAACGCCGCAGTGAACATTCTTTACATATACATACATATTCATACATACTGCATCCATATATGTACTGGTATACTTAAAAAATAAATTCTGAGAAGCAGCCAGGCTCAGTGGCTCAACCTATAATCCCGCACTTTGGGAGGCTGAGGTTAGTGAATTGCCTGAGCCCGCGGGTTCGAGACCCACCTGGGCAACTTGGCGAGACCTGATCTCTATAATAAATCAAAACATAAGCCGGGCGTGGTAGCGCGCACCTGTAGTTCCAGCTACTCGGAAGGCTAAGGCGGAAGGATCGCCGGAGGCCACCGGGTCGAGGCTGCGGTGGTCAGGAGCAGCCACTGTACTCCAGTCTGGGCGACAGAGTGAAACTTTGACTGAATTAAAAAAAGAAAAAAATTCTGAGAAGCAAATTCCAGTACCAAAAGAATATGCATTTTTATTTTGGTTGCCAGATTGTCAGCTAGAGGGTTTGCCAACTTCCACTCCCAGCAGCAGTATGGGTTTCCTCACACCCTGACCAACACAACGTGTTAGGGAATCTGTTGACCTCTGTCATTCTGATAGGTGAAAAGTGGCATCTCATGTAATTATAATCTGCATTTCTCGTATCAGGAGTGAGGCTGAGCATTTTTCATATATCATTTTTGCATTTTTTTTTTAAATTTTTTTTAGTTGAAGCCTCTGTCGCCCAGGCTGGAGTGCCATGGCACATGAGCTGGGCTCAGGCGATCCTTCCACCTCAGCCTTCCAAGTAGCCAGAACTACAGGTGTGCACTATCACACCCGGCTAATTTCTTTTTTGATGTATCGTAGAGATGAGGTATTGGCCAAGTTGCCCAAGCTGATTTCGAACCCGTAGGCTCAGGCAATCCACTCACCTCGGCTCCCAAAGTACTAGGATTGCAGACTGTGCCAACAAGTCCGGCCGAATTTTTATGTGTTTGATGCAAGGGATGCCGGACCAACCTGGGCTGACCAGGGTTGGGACAAGTGAGGTTGACTGTAGCAGGTCTGCACAGTGTTGAGGCACTTCTCTCTCATGAGGTTGCGTGGACACACCCATGCAGTTTAAACATCAGGCCTAGAATTATAGTAATTGTGTTTTGTTGGGGGAAAAGAGTCGTTTTGTTTTCATTATACTTTGTTTTAACTTTTGATTCCCATGCCCTTGTGTTATGGTTCATTTTACATTCATTGATTTATTCAACACGTATTGTTCTCAGCAGATACGTTTCAGTTACGCTTGTTCTAACTCAGTGATGATGGTAGTAACAAAGTTGGTTAAATGAGGAAGACACTCACTTTTTTTTTTTTTTTTGAGTCGGAGTCTCACTC